TGATACTAATTATACCCAATTCCTAACAAAAGTTGTATTTATTCAGGTTTCTGTAGTTAAGTCCTGTTTATAAATCTGTTTAGTACATAAATTTTCAGGAGGCTCAATAGCCAATGGAGTAAGATGCGTGCCTGATAAGCCAAAGGTCCCGGGTTCAATCCGTACTCCACCTATATTTTTTTTCTTTTGTCGAAGGGATGTCCCTGGGATATCCTTTGGACGTCCTAGGGATATCCTCTCTTCGTACTTGGTGCCTCCCAGGGACGTACCAGAAGGACGTCCCTAGGATGCCTCTTTTTGTGGAAAGCGGATGTCCCTGGGACGTCCCTAGTATGTAACATGTCCCGACACAGGATGTCCCAGGGACGTCCTCGTAGAAGATGAAGGACGTCCCTGGGACGTCTCTGGGACGTACTCGTGTTGTAAGGGCTTATTTGTTGACTGCCACTACTGTCAGTTTATAGCGACTGTTGCTATTAGCAGAGAGTGTATAATTTCTACTATTAGTACGTTCTGGTACCAACTACCAACAGTTATCACCACATGTCTCCTGGTATTTCCTTTAAAATCGTACGGAAAAGTACAGCTTTCAAAACGAAAAATCATGCGGAAAAGTTTTCGTAGGAATATTACATTACTATAGCTCTAGTGCTGTAGCGCCCCTATAGGAAGCATTTTCGGACACATCTTGATAAACACATGTTTTCTTATATTAATCTGCAGATTCATCTCCTGGAGTCGAGCCTAGAGTATACGAACGTTATTCTGGGACACCCTGTATACCTACCTATACTACTATAGAATTCCACCTGTTGCTTGGGTATCAAAAATCATCATAATTTGATTGACATATTATGTCCCTGATGGCTAGGTCACTTCACTTCATTCATGCATCACAAACCCGTTTTACCCCTAACCATCCCTAACCATCGTTCAAACATCGTTAATTCCCGCACCCCTGATTAAAAATAACGCTTCTAGTGGCATTATTATTTCAAAACGATTAGAGTAATTTAATGTATGGATAAATCTATGTAAACGGCCCTATGTTATAGAGACAAATTTGAGGGTGATGTGCAACTGGTGGTTAATTATAAAAAGCTCTCGCTAGGGTCGTTTCCGCAGATAATGACGAAGAGTTTTCGAACTCTCTGCTCGCTGGAGTTTAACTGGAATTTTATGAATTGCGGCGATATACCGGTGATTTACTTACCTACTCTTCGCTTTATTTGAACATTTTAGTGTCGATTTACGACAGAATGGCCATCGTTTATCAAAACTGAGTTAATTTGTGGTTAACTGATATTAGAAAAATGTGACAAGCCTCGACGGCCACATAATAAAAATCTCGAATGCCATTAAATTTAGTTCGTAGTTCATTGTAATTTGATACCCACCCGCCTTGACTAAAATGAGGAGAGAAAACGGCTAAATCAATGATCATGCAATGACCTAATATACAGGGTGGCATTGAAATAAGTGCAAATATAACACTGAGAAAGCTCAACGTGTACTATCGAATGGCACTAATGAAAAAATGTAAGGATCAAAATAAAATTTTAGGTTAGACCCTTTTTTCCACCCAAAGTTCTACACTGTAGCAAATCTGACGTCACCTCTGTTCAAATTTCCATGCGGTAGGCACAATCACGCGGAGTTCAATAATTTGAATTGTTTTAAAATGGCGTACTTGATTTTTTTCTCGTGTTTTGTTCAAGTTTTGGGATGAAATTTCTCGTTATTTAGAAGAATTGAAAAAAAATCTGATATCATGGGAATATTCCTTAGACTGTATCATATTAATGTTAATTCTGGGGAACGCAACGAAGGATAATTTCAAAAATTTGGTTCCTTAAATAATTAGTTGTGTTCTAGCGACCTGAAATATTCTCAGCTCTGCGACGGTGCTGACGCTTATATTGAAAAGTAGCAACAACTTTGATTTTTTCTATGGGACACACCGTTTTCAGATTCTCTCTGAAGAGCTGGTTTCATCGATCTATCACACTTGGGATGTAGAGGGAATGATAACAAAGATAATATAGGGTGTGAAAAATCGAGATTTTTCAACTCTAAGACTTTTTTGTGTCGAAACTATTAATAATTGGTCAAAACGGTTCCCATGTCCCTATCTTAACTTTCCACGTGCTATGAATTGATATTTAATTGAAATAGATACAGGGTGATCAAAAATCTTAATTCTGAACCACCCTGTATTTATTTCAATTAAATATCAATTGATAGTGAATAAAATGTTGGGACAGGGACATGAAAACTGTTTCGACCAATTATGAATAGTTTCGACACAAAAAATTCCTAAAGTTAAAAATTCTCGATTTTTCACATCCAATAACTCTGTAATTATTACTGCTAGACCCCAAGTGTTATGGGTCAATGAAATCAGCTCTCCAGGAAGAATCTGATAATGAAATAATATACAGGGTGTCCCATTCAAAAAATCAAAGTTGTTGCTACTTTTCAATATAAGCGGCAACGTCGCAATGCTGAGAATATTTTAGGTCGATAGAGCACAATATTTGAGGCACCAAATTTTCACAATATTCCTGAGTTGCGTTCTCCAGAAACATCTAATGTGCCATCCACTGTGAATCAGCCTGTATATAAAATATAGTGTCTAGAGATAGAGAGAAGATATAACAAGATAAGAGTGAGACGAAATGCTCAAAACGATATCAGCTGATGGGTACCCAGACAGCACCAGATATTCCATGAATCTCCCTATCATATTCCTTTTGGAATATTGGAATATTCTAGAAATAATCTGGAATATTCCGGAATATCTGTGGATTATTCTCTAAATATGCGAATGGGAATTCCTCAGATAATCATAGAATATACCCAAAAGAATATTCTATGTTGAATGTTCCTGGAATATTCCAATAAACATATTCTAAAATTAAAAAAAGTGACCCAAGTAGGGATCGAACTCATGACCTCAAGACTATCAGAGCAACGCCTTGACCACTAGGCCAGTAATCGAATTGAATAATGTTATACATATCAAGTTCTTGTGAGAGCATTGTTCGAAATCGGATCATAAACACTTTTTGTTTCAAAATCCCCTTACATCTAATTGATGTTCGATACTCACATCTCTGAAATAATAAATGTTATTTATGTGTTGAGAAACATAGGAATATTCATGGAATATTTCATGAATATACACCACAGAATATTCAGTTGAGAATATTTCATGAATATACCGCACGGAATATTCAGTTGAGTATATTTCATGAATATACCGCACAAAATATTCAGTTGGGTATATTTCATGAATATACAACAGAGAATATTCAGTTGGGAATATTCCTGGAAGATTCATACCTGAATATTCCCTGAACATGTCCGACTATTCACTTTGGAATATTCCTTTTAGATGTTCCAGAGGCATGTATATATTCTAGGAATAATCGATGAATATTCGGAATATACTCCTCCTTTTTAGCATATTTAGAGAATATTCTATGAATATCCAGTGCTGTCTGGGTAGATACAAATTTCGTATCAGTTACGCTAATTGCATTGTAGGTAATTGTAATATTATATAGGTAATCGAAGTTCATTAATCCATAAGTGTAATAATATGACACACAAATCCTTTTTATAAGTGATAAAATGAGTTTTTCTGTACGAGTGCCTCAGACATATTTTTCACGGGATCCCAATCAGTAACGTATCACTGGAGGTATATTATTATTTTTACCACGGCTATAACACAAAATTGTTCTTTTTTTACCGTGTTTTACTGTGTTCGATACATCAAAGAGTTACTTTATATGTCAGCAGAAAAGTTATTATTTTTATTTAATTTTGCAATTATGAAGTCAACGTTTGGTTTTTTTGATTGTTCATTTACATAAATTTTGTTTAATTAGTAAAAAAAATCATTTCAAAAAATTTACCATGTTTACCAAACATAAAAAATGTATTTTTCTCGAGAACGGTAAACTTTAGAGCGTATGACCAAGAGTACCTTTTTTGTGTAGAAAACATTGGCGGTTCAACTGGGTGGCTCAAAACTGTACTTTCTACAGTGGCGTAGAAGTTGGGGAGAAAAACACTCACTACCCCTTCAAAATCTTCACCAATTATTATTGTTTAAAAATGAAAAGAATACTGCGCAAAACATAGCTTATTATGAGTGGAAAATGCTCACGTAATATGCTTTCTGTAAGATAGACGGTTCCAGAATTATTCACGAAAAACGATTTTTTTTTCAAATTTCAACACCCTGTATCTCGAAAGTAGTGCATTTTAGAAGGTTAAGTTGATGAAAACTTTTTTCATATCATTGGACGAGCTATCACATTCTGAAGTCCATATATTATGAAACACCCTGCATATGATTCAACAACCCCCGAATTACGTTTTACAACATAGGATGAGCCACCTTAGAAAATCACCCGGTATACCCAAAATACCACATTGATACTTAGAAAGAAATAAAAACATATGTCGACAATTAAGTTGCCATCCCCAGTTCAATTAAGTCGACCCTTAATGGTAATTTGTAAAAAATATCCTGATAGATTACTACTCGGTAGGTATCTACTATAAAAACAGCTAATCCTGTTTTTTTCAGTACTACTGAGGATGGCAATTTAGTTGCCGAAACACTTTCTGAGGCTTATTTACATAATTATGTGTTATTTGTATCTCGATTTTGATTTGTTTTATTTCATATTTATTTCAGTTCTTCGCTTAGCTTTGCTTCTAGTCAGTTCTTGTGATGAAATGTGATTAAAAAATAATTTACACTCGAATCTGCATCTATGAATGTTATGATAAAATATCCTGATCTGAGTTATCGGGAAGGTATAGGTATCTGCTATAAGTGCTATACACTATACTGAATGACTGAACCAGAGTTTATTAATAATTCATGAATTCTAAATCACTTCAAACTCGATAGGGAGGAATTATTATCTGATATGCAACAGGTGGTCGATTAAGAATAAAGACGAAATGAAACGCATTGTGAAATGTTCGCAAATGTATTTGGTACAAAAATATTCGATAATATATTACAATAATGTACATAACGCCTCAGTAGATTTCAGCATCATCATATACAGGGCAAAATAAATTTAATAAACGTAATAAGTTCCACAATATTAAAAATAAGAATATGAGACCCTGTATAAACGAGATCATGTTAGGAAATAAAAAATATATACTAATAAATATATTGCAAAAACTCAACATGTCATGCAAAACCTTTGGCAAGATTTATGAGATCGAGAGATCTTTAAAATGGCAATAATAATTGTAGTAAAAGCGAAAAACCCGGATTTTGCACCAGATTCATAGGTACGATACTTGAGCAGGAATGCAAAACAGATTTGGCACTAGGAAAAATCTTACTCTAAATAGTTTCCAAAGCTAACGAATGAATTTACACAATAACTATTCTCGTAGATACAATAATAGGTAACATTCAAGGAACTACAGGCATATTTTATCATGCTAAATTTCACTAGAAAATCGACTAAGTGCCTGCGAAAACTTTATACATAAACTACATATTATCAGAATAACATCTTAAACTAAATCATTTGGTTTCCAGCTACAACAGCCTTATGTCGATTCAATTTGTCGAAAAGTTAGCCTACGATCTCACTTTCTTTTAACTTTGGCCTTGTTTTGTATGTCGCCGTTTTTTCTGTCGGCACCCGTCTTCACATTGTTGAGCAGCGTTCTGAATTGCATGATCTGCATGGCCGTGACAGACGGATCGCTGCAAGATTCCAACCATTTCAGGAATTTTTCACCATGTTCCACAGCCTCACTTTGACTCAGATTATCCTCCTCCAAATTTTCGTCCTTCTTATTCAGCGCTACATTGTTATTATTATTGAACAAAAGGTTATCCAAGACAGATCTCGCCTTATTATTGGTTTTATCACCCATTTTATTCCTGTCATCGTGCATTGACAGATTTTCCGCGTTTTGTTGATCAGGAGGACTTAGTGGTGGTGGAGTAGAAGCCAGCTGAGGCATATCTTTCGTAAGCTGCTGATATAAAATCGGCCTATCATCTTGCACAGGCACCAGCAGCTGCGGTTGCTGCACCTGTGAATGCGGTTGATGCACTTGTGAATGCGGTTGCTGCACTTGTGGCTGCAATTGGTGAACCTGAGGCAGCGGTTGCTGCAGTTGCTGCCCTTGCTGACTGTAGGCGAACTGTTTGTACCATTTCCAGAACCACGAACTTTGATCTGCTGTCATACCATTCAAGCCATTCAAATTTGGTGTCGTTGAATTTGTTACAGTTGTGGTGGTTGGGGGAGACATGCTTGAGGATATACCATTTCCATTCATTGCTGATGTGGTATTCGGGACAGTAGTTGGTGTTTGGCTCATATTTATCATGGACTGCTGCTGTGTTTTCAACCAGTACCAAACAGACTCATGAACTGATTGTTTTTCTTTCGGAAGCTGCAGCTGCTTAGCCTTCTCTTGGTCCACGGTAGTGAGAAGACCAACGGATGACGAGACCATACCACTAGTATCAGCTGGGGCAGTCACTTTGTTGACTTTGCTTGTTTGCAGTACCTTCTGTTGCTGCTGATGCTGTTGCTGCATCAGCAATGTGTTCCACTGAGCTAGGAGGCCGATATTCGCGCTTAGGTCGGCCAAGTTAGCTGAGGTGTTGTTCACATTAGGCATAAACATTTCTTGTCTGTTTAAACCTAGTTCGACACTGAGCCTAGCCAGTTCTGCTCGGTTTCGTTCCCTTTCCGACATGAGGGTGGTCGAGTGAGCCGAGGAGTGAGCTGTGGTGGACTTTGGAGTCTCGACTTTGCTGAGGTTCGTGGGAATCGTGGGTGGTTTGCAGTCGGCTTCGTTTTTCAGATTTTTAGTGTAGTCTACTGCGGAATTCGGGGAGTATGAACCACCGCTGCTTTTGAGGCTGAGGTTGAAGGGCTGCACGGTTGGTTCCTCATGCTTGGGTTTCTTAGATTGCGAGTGGTCCAATGATTCGTCGGTTTCCGGGCTGGATTGTCTGGAGAGGTAGGAAATTTTGTCTTCATTTTTGCACCAACCTCTGAGGGTGGATTCCGGAACACCTATGTCTCTGGCTACTGAGGCTTTGCTTTCTCCATCGTGAACACGTCGGATGGCATCGAGTTTTTCGTGGGCTGTGAGCGACCGCAATGGTCTTTTATTGGTCTTAGCAGACATTTTCGCACATCAATGTATGCACCGACCGTTATAGTGTACGCTGAAAACACGTGTTACTGTTTGCGAGCGATGCGGTTATCGGCCAATGGAAGTGTCGGATTGAGTGCGCAGTTCAAAAAAGTCATAAAGTGAAAAGTTCAGAGAAACAAACACAAAAGTTGCGGCGAAGTTTTGACGAATGCACACAAAGCGCGATAACGGCGGGCACACACACAAAACACGAAACTTTGAAACGCAGGCGCTGGATTGTCTCTCGTACGAATTTTTCGCGCTATCACTAATTAAGGAGTGCGGGACACCGTACAGGCAGGCAGGACGACCGTTTAGTATGGAATAGTTTCTTGCGAGTCTCTCTAACTGGTGGTCAGTTTCCTTTGTCCAGTCGATCAATACCAGCGACGGACTAAGCGCGGACTGAGCGCAGGGCAGAGTAGGCAGCAGGGAGGTAGCCGAGGTTCGCGGATCCCCGCGTGTCGGCTTGACGTGACACCCTCCCACCCCCTGGTAGGGTCGCTATCGGGAGAGACCGAAGACGCGTTTACGCAGCCCAAGATTCGCGCCGCACCACCGGGATCACGATCACGTGCTCGAACAGCTGATGACTGCCGAAGAGTGGGCACAGTGGCCGCGTCGTCACATGGGCCCATGGGCACGGCGATATAACGACCCTCCGAAGGTCTCCTGCCCCCTCCCTAACCGCTGCTGCTTTTCTCGTGATGTTCTTTTCATTAGTCGTAAACATTCGCCGCCGCGTCATAAAAGTTTGAGCCTGGAATAGGGGTGGTGGTGAGGTTCGAAAGCTAGAAGGGTCGTTGAATCTTGAATCTGCTGGTCGCTGGTACGCTGGTGCATTATCTATTATGTCTGTCCTCGCGAACACGTCATGCGAGAGATTGGCGACGGCTTTACGAGTCATACAAGTCCATAGGCGACGTTCATACACGGCAAGGGGGCACGCACCTAACCCATCCCTCGCTTGAGAAATATCAATATTACCATATTCTGAAAATTCAAATGTTCTACGTTTAAAAAATGTTTGATTATTATTTGTTTTTGATTTTGTGTTGATAGTTCTCAACTACCTATTCATTGGAGAAAAATGTGTATGTTCGTTGTATGTTCCATTTTTCAATATGTTCACTGATTTGAAGAGTAAATGTATGAGGAATGGAATTGCATTTTTTTACAGACAATATCAAAGACATGAAGTATCGATTTCGTAGTCGGAATTTTTCAAGTTTGATCATGAAGGCAATTACATTTCCAGTTCAAACTATAGGAACTTCCAACTATGAACTCGAACTTTTCGACTGATGAGTAGAGCAAAGCTGCTTGAACTAAAAAAAAATTTGAGTTTTAAATATCAAGTTTCAATTCGGAAAATGAAATTCCCATTTATAAGTTTTCAATCTTGAAACGAAATATTCTGTAAAAACCCAGGAGATCCAACCTACTCTGAATTTCCGACTCGTAAGCTCAAAGAAAATGTAATTTCTTCTATCCCAGTATTCCCAGCTCAAACTCGAAATTTTGAAATTTTCTACTGGAATTTCTTACTATGATATTTAAGATTTTTCTTCAAATAGTTTAAATATCTGTTTGAATATTTTTTATTTCATGTTATTTTTTTTCAGTGTCAAATTAAATAGTTTTGGGAAAATGTTTTTTAATAAATCGTAGAAATCATCCATACCCAAAGTGGTCCAATGAATTGTCCAAGAAAATCAAAAACACTTATTCGGTCCACCAACACTTTATGTAAAAAAAAACGGTTACTGTTTTATATTTTTTTACATGAAGTGTGGTCGACGTACTTTGAGTTTTTGATTTTCTTTGTTTTTTAATCATCCACAAGGGTGATCAATTCGTGAGTATTATTAATTTCTTGTCCAAAATGGAAATTGGAAACTTTAAAAATGAGTTCACTTTCTGCCCCACTCCCAAAATTTTCTTTCGGTTCGTCCCTGCAAACCAATAAAGAGCTATGGTTGTGAAAAAATCAATGATAATGTTCACAATAATAACATTGTATTTCTATATGAAAAACATCTATCAAATTGTTTTTTTCTGCACATTGAATGCACGAAATATAAATACAAAATGTGATCCTTTTTCATATTTCATGAAAAAAATGTATTTAAACATTTCCCTAACTTGCTTTAATTTCGAGAAACAGGGTATCAATGTTATCATAAAAAATCTTTTTTTTTTATTGGTATTGCTAGTGATGAAACGATGGCAGTGATTTCTGAGGAACATTTCCGTTGAAGTATCTATAGAAAAGTTTTTTGCCAATTCATCTCGAAAACGAAGTTGGGAAACCAAACATCATGTTTATTTGAACTTCATGCCCAAAATATGACAAGGAATAATCTCCTGGAATATTTCGCAATTATTCATTCACACCCTGTAGATGCCCATACCAAAACAAGAAACCGCACTTTCAATTCGAAGGCATTTGACCTTTTCACAAAAGAACTAGAAATGAACACAAACGTTTCAAAAATGTTCCAAACTGTTGTTGCTCACGATTAAACCGGCTACCCCTGAAATAATTTCTACACCTTTTTCAATTGTAATTCAGAAAGTGTGACTTGTAATTCAGATTAGTAAAATGTAAGTCAGAAAGTGTAACTTGTAATTCAGAATAGTTAATTGTAATTCAGAAAGCGTAATTTGTAATTCAGAAATCATCACTTATGAATTACAAGTGATACTTTCTGAATTACAAGTTATGCTTTCTGAATTACAATTGACGGTTTCTGAATTACATTCCTCTATTCTGAATTACAAGTTACACTTTCTTGATTACATTTGACTAACCTAAATTACATATTACGCTTTCTGAATTACAATTTAGTAATCTGAATTTCAAGTTATACTTTCTGAATTACAATTAACTATTCTGAATTACAACTTATACTTTCTGAATTACATCTTATACTTTCTGAATTACAATTGAAAAAGGTTTAGAGGTCCCCTCAGCATTTTTTTCCTGTTACTGTTACTTTTACTATTGAATTGAATTCGTTTGTGTTGTTGATTGTTTTCTTTTGCCAATTCGCACACTCCGTATCATCACAAGTTGCTCTTCAACCTGTTACCACTCTAGATAAGATAACGAATTTTTAAGGGTGGCCGTTTTTTTTTGGCCTGAATAACAATATCATATATACATACTATTTTATTTTGAAATATCATATCGAGTGTCTTACATTATTTGTTTTAAGTGTTGATCACTCTCTATTAGTGATTTGAAAAATTCACGTATTTTGAATTTAGAAAACTTCCTTTCTCGCTTTCTTCCCAAGTTTCTTCCTGTGGATTTCCTGATCTTACTTCCGGTTCAATCAGATGTGCGCACTTTTTAGGAAATTGCGCCTTCTCATTTCTTATTGCGTATCTACCCTTTATATTTTTATTCGTTATATACAATGCGTCCTGAAAAAGTTTAATTGTGGAAACGGTTCGTGCCAGTGAACCAGTTCGGGATTGTTCTTTGAAATAATGAAATATCTAACCATTGAAACAGGCTCATTCGTTTTACACCATGCACTGTTTTAGTGTTTTCTCTACCTATACAGGTTGCAAAAAATGCAAAAAAATTGATATTAGGATGATTGATTGTTTTTAAACTCCTAATTTTGTCAATCTTTTCCTGCTCTTCACAAAAAAAACGCGATACAATAATGCATTATCAAATCAAATGACAATGATTCTCATCAATAATTCATGAGGAAATCGAATAGTCATTAGAGACTCATTAGGTCAATTTAAGAGTCCCTTCAATGATATCTATTAATTCACTATCCAAGTCTATATATAGGTGTTTTACATTCGTATTCTTGAGGATCCTGGGTATCGTCTTGTTAATTAAGGATTACCGAAAATTACCTGGCATCTAGGCTAGAGCCACGGATAATTACATTGCCCTTAGGCCAATTTGCAGATATTCTAAGAATGGATTAGATTGAAATTTTACAACTACGGCAGTCGCAGGTGTTTCGCGGAAGAATTATTCTAAAATGACATTCAAATCGGAAATGTTGTATCTAACCACCTTTTTTCAGTAGCAATGAGCACTAAGGTTCAAAAAACAGAAAAGGTGGTGCGTATGCATGTGATAAAAAAATTGTATACATCAATATGCCAACTGAATTTCACCTCAATTTTGGGCATCAGCCAGATTTGGCAGCCAGGTCATCCAACTTCAGATTGTTTTTCAGCTGTTCGTGACCTGCCTATAGGTTAGGTATATATACGGTTCGGAACTTTGTCTGTGATGTTTACTATTTTTTTTTTTTCGGTATATTCATTGTGAAAGATGATTATTGATTTATTATGAGTTTTTCTTCCTCAAACAGTTATTTGAATATATTTATTTTCCCTTACAATAACTTGGTATAGATTTCAATGCAAACAAAACACAAGCATGCCTTTTCTCTAGAAAAGCCAATCTTACTGTGCCCAACATAAGCTTCTCAGGAGTAACCATACCTTCAGAGACATCCATTTCGATGCTTGGTATTACTATCAGCAATAACCTTTCTTGGGAAAATCACGTGAGAACAATCGCTAAAAGTGCATCCTAAAAACATGGTTTTCTGTTTCGGGCCAGGAGCTATTTCACTTCCAGTCAGCTGCTTATGATCTATAAGGCACAGATCCGACCTGTCCTGGAATACTGTTCCCATATTCGGAGTGCAGCACCCAAACATACCCTGAAACTGTTGGATTCTGTCCAAGAAAGGGCAATTCGTCTCGTGGGTGATGCCTCGCTCACAAACTCACTCACTTCTCTGGAACACCGTAGAAAAGTTGGCGATCTGGCTTCGCACCCCTTCGTGGTCACTTTGGAGACCTGCAGAACATCTCTTTCCAAAGACTCGTTCATCCAACAAACAGCGAGGCTCTGGAACACATTGCCAAGGGAGATGTTTCCCGAGGCATATAACCTCCAGAAATTCAAGAAGAACACCAATTCCTTCTTTATTTCCCTTGGTTCTCACGATGTTTTCTGAACATTACAAAATATCCCTTTTCATAAAAAAAAAATCATTCATGGATCACACTGTATAAATAAAAAAACTCCATTAGGTGCGAAAATTCACTTTACACCTGAAAAGATTCTAATGATCTACACAGCACAGGATACGGCCTGTTGGAATCGTAGGAAAGTAGTCGACCTTTCACTTTTCTATAGATACATCCACGGGAAATAATGTTCTTAAGGAAACTCTGCTATCATACCATCCACTATCAATACCAGTCAGACGAACTAGACAAGCCCAGTCAGCACATCCTTTCGTCGTCAACATCGAAAAATGTCTAACAACACTCTACCAAAACTCGTTTGTCTATAGAACGGCAAAGCTTTGGAATTCTTTGCCAAAGGAAGTATTCCCAAGAGCTTATAATCTCGAAAAGTTAAAAAAAAATTCGAATACCTATATACCTCCATTACCTCCTCTCCCTATCCTCCCTAGGTACGCACGATGTTTTCCGAACATTATACAGGGTATGTCATGCATTGCATTTTTAGATTCTCCCTGAAGAAATGATTTCACCGATACATCACACTTGGGGCAGAGATTATCTTGGGGTCTATCGGAAATGATAACATCAGAGATATAGGGTTTTCAAAATCGAGATTTCTCCACTTTATAGGATTTGTTTGTGTCGAAACTATTCATTATCGGCCAAAACGGCTCACATGTCCCTGTCTCAACTTCTGATTTACTATTTACTGATATTTAATCGGAACAGATACAGGGTGATCAGAATTCTGAATCATGAACATTTTCATCTTCGCCCTGTATCTCAAAAACGAAGCAAGCTATGAACATTTTATTTCCGGTATCGTGAGTTTAGCCAACGTTCGCGAAAACCGCAAATCTAGAAAAAAAGTGAGATATCCCTTAAGGACATCGAAAATGGGACAGTTTTTAAATAAATACTGAGACGCACGATATTGCATAACATGAAAAACGCGAGAGAACACG